CTGCATCTCTTGAAATGATTCCAATTTTTTTTTGCCCTTAACATTTTTTTGTCTTAACATTGTAAACTACATCCAAGGATTTCTTTCTTTCTTTTATTTTTTCTTCTATGAAAATTGTTTTGAAAGTAATACTTGTAACTTTAATTTTTTTAATTTACTTGTGTTTTAAATTCTTCTTTGAGCAAATACAAATTTTTCTGAAATTGGTCCATTTCACTAACATTTGAAAATTATTGTAAAGAGATAGGGACATGGCGGTTCTTTAATTTTTTAAATCTTCATCATATCCTATTTTCTGTTCCATTTTGTTTATTTATTGTTTCCCTTTTTATTTTTAAACACCTTTATCAAGGTATGATTAACATACAAAAAAGCTGTACATATTCAATGTATACAACATAACCAGTGAGATTTATACTTTCATATAGATATTGGGAGTTAAGCGATGACCCGGTAATCAAGTTTTAAACTATCACTCCAGTCCTTTGATATATCCAACGTGGCCATTAGGTTTATTTTACAAATGGCTAGATTCTTGTTGGCATTTTACTTAAAATTTTTGCATTAATTTTAGAATTATCATTGGCCCGTAATTCTCCTTCTGCATTTCTGCTCATACGACTTTGACTTCAAGGTTGTAGTAACCTCATTAAAAAAAGCTGAAAGTTGGGAACATTATTCTTTTAACATTTTGTGTAACATTATTCTTTTAACAGTTTGTGTAACATTTCAATTGTTATTGTTTGAACGTCGGAGAAAAGTTTTCTGCAAAATGACTGTTCGTGTGTGTGTGTGTGTGTGTGTGTGTGTGTGTGTGTATTGGTAGATTTTAAATTACTGATTTTATTTCTTTACATATTATGTGATACACAGGTTTTGAAGAGGAAATTAGCAAATTTCTATTTTGTCCAAGTTTCAATGAAATTCTTATATTTTTATTTCTTTGCTGTTGTATTCCATTTATTTAATTCCTATGACTTTTGATTTGGCCTTTTCTCATTTCTGTTGACCAGTTTCTCTAGAAAGCCAACTTTTAGCTTTGTTGATTTCTTATTTGAGAAACAGGAGATGTAGCATAATAAATAGTTAGATGTACAGGCCTTGGAGTCAAATGTCTTAACTCACAAGGTGATTAAGAGGATTAAGTATGACACAGTGATTTGAAGTCAAAATAAAGTAAGTTTTCAAAATATTTTAGTTTTTGTTATAGTTAAGTTCCTCGTTATTTTCTATCTTTGACCCAGTTTATTTTTTTCATAGCGCAATCGCTCTCTGAGATGATACTTTTTATTAATTTTTACTTATTTATTCCATTTTAAAATTGAGGAGAGATTTTCTCCCCTTACTTTTCTCTAAAGAACTTTCTTTTCTTCTGATAACAATTATATCCAAAGGGCTAGAACCTTGCTCAATACATAGACACTGAAAAATAAATAAATAAAATTTTAAAGGACATAAATTAATTCCTAACAAATTGCAGAAACCTGTTTTCTAGAATGGTAAATATGGGGGGCGGGGCAGGGAATTTGATGGGGAGAAACACATAGAGCAAAATTTGGAAGGCTCTGGGTACCCAAAACAGCATGAAGGAATTAGGTTCTTTCAGGGACTTTACATGGTCATGGCAGAGCACCAAAAATAAAATTAACTACTGTATATAGTTTTGTCTATGTTTGGATTGAGTGCCTTCTACATAACAGGCATTCTAGAAATATTTGCAGACATGACATTGATGGCATCATACAGATATTTAAGTGCTGTGGGATTTGTGGAGGAAGCTTTCATTTTCTTAAGCTAAAATGCCAAACTAAGTTTCCTAAATTGATTACTTTATTCTAAAAGCAAGTGAATGCTTTTAATTTTATAATATTATTTTTTCTATTTTAGGAAACAAAGAACTTGATAAACCTGAAAGTATGTATAAAAATATTTCAGCTTTGATTCAATAACTTCCTCCCCTTGAAACTAATTGAGCTTTAAGTGTTGTGTTTTATCGACAGAATATCCAAACTGGACTCCACAAGGGAAAGCACCTCAGCCGGAAGCATGTAATCTATTGTGCCTAATTTATGTTCTGCTAACAATGTTTTAATTTTCATTTGTGTACGAGAGAAATTCTTAAAGATAACAATAAAGGAAATGTATGGCTAAATATAACTCATCACTTTCATTATTAAAACTTCTACATTCTTGTCTGTTATCTAAATTTAACATGTTTTTAATTCAAAAGATGTGTTGCAGTATAGAAGAAGAGTAGCATTAAAAATGTTTGTTTATTTTTTTAAATTACAATTTTACAAGTATCAAAAGAGTCCCATTTGCTAATATTTTAAATTGACATTTCAGTTACAGTAGATCTAAAGAACTAAATATTTCAGATATTAGATATTTTCTTTATATGCCAGTAGTCCCCTTTAAGAATACCACCAAGAATATTTGGAAACAGAATAACATTAAGGTAAATTTTAGATAGCACATAATGTTATATTATTGACATAATCAATATTGGGGGAAATGGATAAGAACAGATTAAACTCAAAGAAGAAAATCAATTAAATTTTAAAACTTTGAAAGGTAAAATGTATGCTCCGAAAATTAAAATTATAGCCTTTTAAAAGGTTTTGTTTCAAAATGTGCTCTGTATAAAATAACAGATAAAATATTTTAAAACTCTATTTTAAAAAGTACCTATAATATAGTTAACAACATCTCTACAAACCAAAGAATTGCTCAATTCTGGCATTTCTCTTGTCTGAACACACACCCAAACACACACACACAGATTATTCAATTAATTCAGTTTAAAATTTATGTTGAATTATTGACTCCTGTGAACTAAATTATCTAGACCTTTTTCTTCTCAAATATGGTAACCACTAATTTCCCTAAGCTATAAATACTAAAAAAAAAAAAATTAATGTATTTTTTTTGGTTTTCTTTTTTTTTTAATAATTAATTTTTTTATGGTGACATTGGTTAATGAATTCCAATAAGTTTCAGCTGTACACTTTAACAGTAAGGCATATATATATTTACATTGTGTATTCATCTCTTATAGTTAGATTTCTTTCTGTCACCACATATTTGACCCCTTTTACCCCATCTACCTTCCCCCTCCCCCAACCCCTCTTACTCTCTGGTAAGCACTAGTCTATTGCCCATGTCCATGAGGCTCTGTTTGTTTATCCTGTTCATTTGTTGCTTTTAGGTTTGTATCCCACGTACAAGTGATATCATGTGATTTTTAACTTTTTCTGTATGGCTTATTTCACTCAGCATGATTTTTTAATGTATTTTTAACATGACTGAGTTATTTTGTATATACTGCCAAATACTTGGGAATTTCCACACTGCTGGGTGATTTATGCTAGTCTCAATAAAGAAGCCAAGTGATTTTGTATTTCAAATTTGTTCTTATTAGGGTTCTCCAGAAAACGGAACCAACAGGGGGGCGATTGAAAGAGAGATAGAAAGAGAAAGGGAGAGAAAGGGGAGAAAGTTTTAAGAAATGGCTTACACAATGTGGTGACCACAAGTCTAAAATCTATAAGTTAAGCTGGCAGGATGGAGATTCAAGTAAGAGTTGCTGTTTTAGTCTTGAGTCTAAAGCCTGTAAAACAAGACAGATTTTGCATTTTTCAGTCTGAATGCAGTAATCTTTCAGGAAATCTTTGTCTTTGTTCTTAAGGCCTTCAACTGATGTGGCCCACCACATTAGGGAGGATAACCTTCTTTACTTACGTCAATTGATTATAAATGTTAATGACACCATTACAGCAATATCTAGACTAGGGTTTGTCCTAACACTAGCCACCATAGTCTAGCTACATCAACACACAAAATTAACCAGCACAATGCTATTTGGTATCATGTATATGGAGTCATTATCTTTTTAGCAAAGTATCACTATTCGTTTAACTATTATTACATTGTCAAAATTTGAATTCATAATTAATTATTCCTTAACCAGTAGTTTGAACTGCCTAAAAATAAACTGACATATATAGTATACTTTGTTTATTGTTATGTTGTCTCCATAAATTTTTAAATAAATATTTTCATTAAAAATTCAAATAGTCTCTGATTTTTAATGTAATTACTCCATTACTTCTTCGTACTCAACATTCATCCAAAAGCATATAAGTTCCTTAAATCAGATTAACTGAAATTCTACAGGCCACATAAAAATGAATTTTTATAGAATTATATTCTCTGATTTTCTAGGCATCCTCTTGAACTAAAATCCCACATTTTTCATGTCTTTCCTCCGTCTTTATTGTTACCAACTGAATTACAAAATTAATACCAGGCGAGTCCCTGAAAAATTACCACTTCAAACTTTCTAAAATAGTTTGCAATCTTCAAATTATAACATATATTAAATAGCATTAAGGCTTTGGAGTGCTATCCTATACTTATACATTTAAAGTAACCCTTTTTTCCAGGAATTCATAAGAGGTTACAGTCTCAGAACCCTGGCATTCTCTTTGTGAGTCAGCAATTTCACATGATGCAGTTTGTGCCGTCTTAAGAATATATAGGAAATTTACTAAAGTAGTTACTAAATACAACACATTGGAGAAAGAAATGTCACTAGATACAATAGTGACAAATATTGTATTGACCATGATAGAATAAAGGATTTACTAACAAGGCATCAAGAATATTTGAGAGTTCAAACACCAGTTCAGGACATCTTTCAGCTTTCTTACCCCCGATCATCTTTAAATGACAAATCAGGATTTATCAAAATTCATAAATTATAGGTTGATTTTCTGTGGCTACTTGTTTATGCCTTTCTCCCTTCTAGACTATGAAATTCAACAAAGGAATTGATTATTGGAGCCAAGTATACTGTAGTAGTTACATGATTGGACTGTAGAAATAAAATCTATAGCACATTTTAATATCCAAAGCCTACGTATATTTAACTTATTACATACAACAACTCTGGAAGGTTAACAAAACAGGTTATTTTCCCCATTTTAGAAATGAAAAATGTGTAAGAGATTTACACAAAGTCATATGTCTACTGAATGACAGAGTCCAAATGTGAATCTGGCTCCCAGTCTAACATCTTTTATTTTACACTAGGGCTGCCACAAATCTCTTTAGCAAATCATTTAACGCATAAGACAAGTATTATATTACAAAATCAGCTACATTTTATTCAGTTCATGAATAAACCCATATTATCTAGTCCTTTCTATAATTAATTCATAATTCACATATTACTATTCAGTTAGAAAGGACCATTATATTTACATAAACCTATTAAAAGAAAAGCAAATGGAGAACATTAATCAAATACTATAAAACTAAGAAATTTCTGGAAAAACTACTTTACTGCTTACAAAGAAAATAGTTGAAAATTAAAAATACTTGACAGTATACAAACATGATACATACCTTGAACAGCTTGAAGATCAGCACATCAATGCATTCATAAATGGCTACATCATCCTCATGTTCCACAGAATCAGTTCTGCAACAGACATGTTCACAGTGATAAAAATATATTCTATTTTGCATTCTTGAATGTGAAAAATCTAATCTAATCTCTTTCCTACTCTTGACTTAAAGAAACTCTCAAAGTTAGAGGAGTGCTTAGTGTTAAATCAAGTCCCACTTTTGGCTGATGATTTATGTTTCTTTAATTTTTTTAATTAATTTATTTTTTTAATTGAAAAAATGATTTTAATTTTTCCCTCATTTACCTCCCCCCTCCCTCCTCCCCTCTGGTAACCACTAGTCCATTGTCCATATCCATGAGTTTCTGTTTTTTTGTCCTATTCATTCTTACTTTTCGGTTTATATAACACATATAAGTGATATTATGTGATTTTCTACTAATTTTTCCTTACCTCCCCTCTCCCCCCTCCCCTCTGGTAACCACTAGTCCATTGTCCATATCCATGAGTTTCTGTTTTTTTGTCCTATTCATTCTTACCTTACTT